AAAAAAACGTATTAAACCAAGCGAGAAAAGTACGAAACGTGTTAAATTTCTTCAAAGTAATTAAAAATAAGAATAAAGAATAATTTTAAACACAAATTTCATAGTTGGAATAAAAAATAAGAGAGGAAAAAAGGCCCCTTTTTTTTCCCTTTCTTGCATAAAATTTTCCCTTTAGTAAATATAGCTAATTTCATTCTCCGTTGTTAAACATAAAAAGAAGTCATTACGAGGACCTACTCTTGTTATTAAATTTTTGCTGAAGACGTTTCGAATGTGGTGCATCAACAATCATTGTAGTAATTGCTAGAGACCTTCCGTCTGCACGTGAAGAGGCGTGCCGTATCATTATCTTGTCGACGTGAACTCTTACCCCCGAACTGCGTGCATTATCGTGCCATCTTTTTCTTTGAACACACAGAAATTTTTTCTTTCTTCCATCTTCGTGACGTCTGATTCTTCTTCTCCATCCTTAAAACAAATGAAGGATTTTGATAATTAAGTAAATTATCGTCTCAATTCTTTGCACCGTGTCCAAATTATTTAAATAAGCGTAAACGTGTATTCGACTCGAGGGGGTCCTCTCTACGTTTCTACGTATTGAAATTCACGTAAAAAAAATCGTAATTATGTAACTGAATCGATTATATCTACGATATTCCTCGCGTGTTTAAGAGTCTTGAAGAATTTCCTCAGCATCCATGGAGAAGAATAGAAATCGTCTTCATTGTTTTGACTTGTGGAAATTTAAGTTTTTTTTTTTACTGTTTTCCCAGCTTCTAAATTATCTTAGATGAAATATTATCTTTTCAAATCACTTAAAATGCATATTTTCATATTAATTTTAGTTGCGAGAAGAGAGGAGGAAACCTTTATGATGCGGATTTGTTGGTGAAGAATGCCTTTGATCCGTGTTATGTAGAACTTAAAAATCAATTTATTTATAGTGTCTGATTGATAATTTTGTCGTTTTTTAAAGTATTTTTTAAGTTAAAACGTTTATTTTCCACTTTACACAATGTTTTTCTGAAAATTTTTCACTTCGAAATATTAGACATCGAAGAGTTTCCTCTTCTTGTTCAACTAGATGCGAAGATACTTCACTAAAATTACGCTAAAATTTCTCTTTAATGCTGTAAATATGTAAGTGTTTATTGCTTTATTTACTTTTAAAAACTTAAAATGTGATATTTCAACTCGATTTTTTTATACGATGGACTTCTTAATTCCTTAGAAGATCAAAAGAAACCGCAGAGGTATGCGTGGATAATTTATCATATTAGCTGTACATTTATATCAATTGTAAAATAAGGAAAATATAGTTAATCATTCGGAGCTTATCCTTGAAAAATATGTATTTAGCCCTTCCTATAGGTGCGGCTGTCAAGGATATCAAACAGAAGAAGGTCAGAGAAGGAACTCGAGGAACAGATGTGCGTGTCTCCCACCAAGTTGGAAAAAGAATAAAACTATTCTTGAATTTCAGCATAAAAAAACGGCAGTGATTCTTAATTTTACTTGTAAATTTTAAAATATTCTCAAGAAAAGTATTTGAAATTAAATAAAAATTCGATTTTATTTTGGATTCTTTTAGATTAGAATATACAGACACACACACACAGGAATGCCTAAGGCCTATATCTCATGTTTAAGATCAAATTATATATAAAAAATGTATAAAATTTCATGAAATTTATTTCATATTCTAACAATTAGAAAGAATTTCGTGAAATTTAAGAGAAATTTCCGTTAAACTTTTACTAGAAAACTAGGAATTTTTATCGAATTTGTCTTTTATTGATTTCTCTTTACGAGGATTTATATATGTTTTAATGACTTTTTTATTAATTTAAAATTAAAATATATAATTTTATAAATTATTCGTGGTTTATTTCTTACTAAAAGTGAAAAATATACGTCATAAATCAATAATAACAGTACGTAATAAGAAATGTAGCACAGTTACAACAAAGGTGAATCAATGATTTACTCAACACCTCTTAGGAAAATTATATGAAATAATTATAAATATATATTCAATAAGACATTGTATAAGATGAAGCTTTATAAGAGAATCAATAAGTGAAATCTGAATGCCTACATATATCGAAAAATCGTCCGAAGTAATAGAAATTTCAATAATAAAGTTTAAAATAATTAAATTTATAATAAAATTCCGCATTTCCTACGAAAATAAATTAGATTTAATTATAAATTTATCCCAAAAATTTATTCAATTCAGCGGTGCCTTTAAAACAAGTCTTTATCATCATCAGGAAGATGCTTAAATTCTCAAAAGTGTTTGCTATACAGAAGGATGAAGATGAATAAGTAATTAACTAGTCATCCACCTTCTTCACCCTCCACCTTAGTAACCAGTTTATTTTCTTCACCTTTCAACCTAATTACTAGTTAACTACTTACACACCTCCTTCATCCTTTAACCTAGTAACTAGTTAACTACTTACACACCTTCTTCATCATTTAACCTAGTTTCTAGTTAACTATTTACACACCTCCTTCATCCTTTAACCTAGTTACTAGTTAACTACTTACACATCATCTTCATCCTTTAACCTAGTTTCTAGTTAACTACTTACACACCTTCTTCATCCTTTAACCTAGTAACTAGTTAACTACTTACACACACATTAACAATTGTTAAGCATAGGCTATAAATTATTCCAGGATTCATCCCTGCCATTAAATTACAACAAAATCCTCATAAAACTTTAAGCGGGGAATTTATTGAACGTATCAAAAAATATCCATTCACCTAAAGAATTATTTTCATTATAATCCATTTAGAGCATTCCTATCATAAAATAAGAGGAGTGTATCATTATCAGGAAGCGTACAGTCGAGCAAATATTCTTCTAAATCTCGCGTGTGACATAGCAAAGTTTCCTACCTCCAGCCTTAAGTTTCGATGTAGGTACGCTACATTAGTCTCTTCCGGCTAGTGACTACACCCGTTAGCCTATCCAGAAGTAAGTGGAAGACGGCGATAATGGTGACATATGGGAGAAGGTGATATTTGTTGAGGCACTAAGCCGACACTTGTGTAGGTAAACAAGATTAGGATGCTGGTGCTAGATTATCCTACCAGCCAGTTATTACATGGGACAGCTAGTGGTCAGTTCCCTTGGGTCAGACTTAACTTTCCAACAAATTGACGTTTGACTTTATCGTCTTATCTTCCCTGCATTTTTATAAATGCACTTTTTATTTCTATAAAAATTCTATAAAAAAAATTATTTCTAACTCGAATTTTACTAAAGTTTGACTTAAGTCTAAACACTGTCTTCCAGAGGTAAATTCTCACTTAATTCGTTGTTTAATGATGAGTTGTTAAGCTTAAAGTAACCTCTTTCTCTTAACAATTCGTCTAATTTTAATCCTATAAAAATCCTCTATAATATTATACAGATTCTTATAATTAGTTTATGAGAACCTTATATAAAATCACCTATAAAATGTATAAAATTAAGTTAAAGTCTGGTTAAGATTCTGTATAAATTTCCTGTCAAAATCCTCCACAAAGTTTAGAAAAAATCCTATAAATAGATTAATAAATACTCATTTAAATCCTATACAAAATTATTTAATAAATACAGAGAAAATAAACCATAAATTGTGTTTAAAATCTTACAAAGATCCACAAAACAGAGTAAAATTTTCAGCCTTAATTACAAGAATAAAAGCTTGTAATATAATAAAATACATAAGAATTACATAGAAAAAATTCATCTACTAGTAACAGTGGAATTTCAGGATGCAAGATTGAAAATAATATATATATAAGTATAGGTATAAACGAAGAGGAATGTAAGTAGAAGAAGTGTAATAGAGCCCAGTAGACTATTGATCAGGAAGAGCAGGACGTATGTGGCTGACAGCTCTGATAATAACCGTGAGCAGAGCAGAGATCCACTCAACACTTGGGATATTAGAGAAATAGCAAATGAACTGTTTTTGACATTTTCTCATCATCTTTCTCTACATTTAAATGCAAAAGTGCAATCTCTCTAACTCTTAAGTGCCATCGTTTATACACAATCTACTTCAACAATCCCTTATACTATTTATAAGTTAAAATTTACTATACTAAACACCTCTATCTTTTATACTTTATCAATTAAATTAATTATTATTCTAGAATATGTTACTATACAAGGCATCATATAACAGTTAAGGGAATAATATTTATCTAAGATCAAGCAACAAGTCAGTTAGTATTATAACAGCATTAAATTAATGATGTTATAAATTAATAGGATACTTTAATTATATCAAACGTAGTATACAATTAATTTCCCTATGAGAAATAGCTTAACTATATTATTATTTCTCTAGTAACACAAGCGTAATGGTGTGTTGCTATAGTAATTTATTTAAAGCGTACTCGATTTAATCCTATACTATATTGTAATTATTGTTTAATAATTAATAAATTTTACAGAAAATTTCGATCATTTTAATTAGAATATTCGTTAAAATCTCTAATTAAACCGCTCGAGATTTGTTATAATCTCACAAAATGAATGAAAAGAAAAAAAAATAATTAAGGTTTAATCCGTCTACACCTTAAAAAATACATAAAATTTTAATTTTTTGGCATTTTAAAGGTGATTTAATTGAGAATTTAAGCAATGCTTAGCGTGCTCTTCTATATCAGGTGCTATAGAGAAGCACTGTTAAGTTTCTCTATAGTACAAGAATTAATTAATTAATTAATTAATTAATAATTTGTAAACAATTATTCATAATAATACAAGCATTTTCCTTTAATTTCTTTTTAATTTTAAATATTTTAAACGTTTTAAAGGAAGTTTAACGTAGAATTTAAGTAAAAGGTCTTGACAACCTTCTGTGTATAACTTAATAATCTACGTAGTAAATTCACATCTGAGATGATTTTTATAAATAAAACAGATTAAATTAGCATTAAAACCAATAAAAATAATAATTTTTTTAATATTTTTTAAGTGAAAATTACTCACAAAGTTTGTATATTGTGAAGGGATGAGAAAGTTCCATTAGCTAACGATTGGATGTTGTTATCGTAGAGAGATCTGTAATGTATTTTATTTACATTATTTAAAAAGTACATATTAATTAATTTTAATAATATAAATAAGTATATAAATTGTATTTTTTTAACGTAAAAATACCTCCTCCCATTGTCTGAAGAAGCCACAAGTTTACAGCGTGTAAACTCCCTCGATAGTGTTGTTAAATATATTAAAATATATGCTCTAATTATTAATAAATGTATATAAAATATTTTATAAACATAATTACTTCGTTATAACGAAGAATTATTAAGGTAAATAACCATTAACGAGTGTTGGAGTTAACTAGAAAACGCCCTTATTTCGACTTAACGACAGAAGAAAGGGGCGTTATTTAAGAATTTTAATTAATAGAAATAGTGAATTACACATGCTTTAAATGCATCTATACTATTCCCTAAACGGTATTAACAGTTATAAGCATTGATGCAGTATCATTTGTATCATTAACAGTAATAATAAACAGGCAAAACTATTCATTCCCAAGCAATAACTGTTAAAGATGATGGTTAGGGTATTCCCAAAGAGATAATGCATTCGAAACGGTTGAACACGTCTATAAACGGTATGTACCATTTGAGTCTGTTGTATTTGATAATTATGACAGAGTTATAACGTCATAAGAGACGTGACTACTTACTATAAAATTTTGGGAAGGCAGCTGTCGTTTGTTTGCTAACATCTGCCTTTCTAACTGACGGAGGCCACTAACGGAAAATCTGTTTTGATAAGTCGACATCTGTCCCTCTTTATGCCCCCTTTTTACAGAAAACAATGCGACCAAACACAGGGAAAAAAATGGAGGAAAAGGGCACTCAAAGACGTTTCCTCCCCAGCATCATTTATATATTATATAGGCCTATATATATATAAAAATCATGGAGATAAATAAGTTAAAGTTAATTAAGTAGTGGGGAAAAAAACGAGCGGTTAGAGGGGCATTATATCTCACGAGATTCAATTCCTAAACTCAAACCTGCACAGTAATATTAAACCCAATGTGTAACTGTAAATATGCACATCTGGGATGACTTTTCAAATTGTCGACTTGTGCAGGGATGTGCTGTGGAGAGGAGGAGGAGGAGAAGGGGAGGAAGAAGAAGAAGAAGTAGTAGTAGAAGAAGAAGAAGCAGAAGAAAAATCGTTGCAAAGAGGAGCCATTTGGGGACTCAACGTAATTACATTAAAGTATAGAGGGTCCCGGAGACGACAGAACCCTCATTACTAACTGAATCACCTGAAAGATTTTTTTTTTATATATATATATCCCTGCTCTCTTAACCGATTCGTAACACTTTACGCTACTTCCTAGAAGTAACATGTCAGTCTCTTGTTACACTTTTTATTAGCATTTTTGGTTGCAGATCTCGTAACTTAAAAGGGCAGGAAATTTTTACAGGACTTCGATCGATACATACGTCAAATTAATTTTTAAAAAAAAGGGTGATTAATTAATTTAAGAAGCCTTCAATTAATTAATACACTTCGATATTTTCTCACAAATTTTAAAGCCAAATTAATATGCAAATTAATTTGCTTTTTCCAAAATTATATATTTTTTTGGTGGAAAATTTTATTCTATATTTTTAAATTAAATTTTAAAAGATTTAATCCAATTTTTTAAAAATTTATTCATAAAAATATGTAAGTTGGATAAGTTGGAATATAGATCTGACAGATGAGATGATGCTGAGGATGAAAGTGATGCTGGGGAGCAGAAGAAAATTAATCTCAGTTAGATGTAATATAATACTTTTTCGTGAATTAGATACATTTTTAAAAATTCATCATCATCTATTTTACTCCACTCCAAACTTCCTGTTAACGAGGGGAATAATTTTAATCAACTCTATCATCAATTGATCGAAACGTGGAAGTAGAGAGAGAAAAAAATCGAATTTACAAAAAAATCCATTGAATAATTTAAAGAAAAACCTTTTTAAAAACTAAAATTACATAATTTTCTGATATTTTATTAAAAATTTAAATCATTTACGAATGTTTATCACGCCCGTCTTAACTAGTTTATAAGGGAGGATGCTCCTGTAATTATACACTTATCAACCCATCAAAATTTTAAAAAAGTAATATGGGAGTAACCCTCCTAACCAACTGTTTCAAATTAGGGCATGATATAAATTCATAGAAAACATTTGATACTTTATATTTGTCACTTCTTCTCTAATGAAGCGAAGATTCTTTCTCTCAAGCATCCCCCATTAGAAAAAAAAAAGAAAAGTACATCTTTAATCGAATCTTTAAAGTCCAGCTGTTTATTTAATGATTTTATAAGTAATTTGTCTTCTTAGAAAATTACATTAGGGATAATTAATTAAGAATTATTTTAATTTATATATATATTATTATTTTTAAGGTTATACTTACAATAAATTTAGGTTATGGAGATCTGCAAATGTTGATTTTCTTATGCAGGATATTTTATTTGCGTTTAATAATCTGAAAATAAATAAGAATAAAATGTTATATTTCTATATTAAAATTCTGTGTAATTTTATCATTTTTTTCTTATATTTAAATATAGAATTCTAGCAGAGCGAGAGTCGCTTCACTTAACGTCGCGTCGCGTACTCGCTCTACTTAGCTTAAATAATAATATAAATTATGCATAACTTTTAATTTTTTTGTAAAATATTTATAAGTAATTTTCTTATGTACAAAACTTTCATCACGAGAAAAGTTAAAATTAAATATTAAGCATTCTATAAGTGATTTAAGTGCTGACGCGAGCGAGCGACGCGACGATACGCGACGCGCTAATAAGAGAACTAAACTAAAACAACTTCCCAACCTCTTCGGATATCGAGACTTATAATAGCTTCGTTGGAGCTCGCGATCTACAGGTTGAAAAATTTAGCTAAATAGTACAAGAACTATAGATATTATCGTGAATATTAATTTAAAATGATAAATTATTTATTCGTAATTTATCATATCGTATTAATTAAGAGAAAATCGATTATATTTCTCTTTAAAAATAGATTTTATTCAACACTCCACTAGTAAAGATTGCACATCGTTATGAAGATATTATAGAACTTGTCAGAGAAGTTCTCCAGTAATCTATCGGTATTTTCTATAATAAGCTTCCCTTCTATATTTATTTATATACCGAAGCTAAGTGTAGAAGATAATCCAAGCAGGACATAACTTGACAAGTTTGGTTTCAATGGCACCCTCCAACACACAGGATAGAAATTTAAACGAAATTGTATTGTTTCTTAGATTCTTTAATAGAAGTTTCCTTTACTAGGGATTATTATTTGCTGTCATATAACCTGAAGTTCTTACTGGTCTTGAGGGAATGTCAAAAATGTCTTTTAATCCAGCCGTATCATTTATAATCTTCTCGTAATGGTCCTACCAACTGTATTACTCGATAGAAGTCCCTATACTAAACTCTTCATTGCTTCCTATTACAAAAGTCATTAATGTTTCCAGCCTTTCTGTCTATATACAGCTTATATGTGCCTGTAAACTCGTATATATTTGGAAGAAACAATGCTCAGTAAGCGCATTGTTTTAGTGGAATATACTTAGTTTCTACCTTAAAAAAGTACATTTTATACATCTTTTATTAAATTTCTACCTCGTATAATGTATTATATATGGTTTAATTGTCGTAAATATTGATAGATTTACTGTAAATACTGTAATGTTTGGTCATGTGGCAAGTAGGATTTGCAGCAAAATTTCACTTATATAATGTATAAGCTGTGTATTTATTGACTGTAAAATTATATATTAAGCATTTAACACATTAAAATTACAAATTTCACTAGCTTATACAGTAAAATTTACTAAAAATAAGAGGTTATAACAATCAGAAAAGTGTATTTATAATAAACCAACCTTACAACCCATTCATTCTTTCTATCTAAAATATAAATTTTAGTGTCAGTCCCGCCTGCATATCCTAAAAGAGGATGAGAAAGAAGAAAATAAAAGAAATTTCCCTATCAAACCGTAGTAGGGATCATGTAAAACGTTCTCGAGCTATTGAACAGACGAAAATTTGTTGTTTTATATCATAATATCGTCGACACATCCGCTCTGACGACATCAAGATGATGTTTAGTCAAGCAGAGAAGGAGAATGCAAGAAAAGAAAAAAGGGGGAAGAGGGGAAAGAAAGAAGGAAAGAAGAGGAAAGTCCATCGCTCTTTCTTGTCTTCAAAACAAGAACGGTAGTCATGACAACTGGTAGAGTGATGGTCCGAAAGAAGCAAAGAAATTGTGGGCTTTCTCAGCACTTTCTCCTATGGAAAGAATGAATTCACTTTTCCGTGCAATGAGCCCTCTATTTGTGGAAACTGCTCTCACCATAAAATATTTACAAAAAAACTTTATACGGGGATGGAGATATCTTTTCCATTTTTCACCTCCACGCTATATTTGTATCAACAATTTATAAGTTATAAGGGAATAATAGACTAAATTTAGACGTGATCCCTACGTTCTCTCCATTTCATGATGGCATTCTGAGGATTCAGAAAGGTTTCTTTATATAATTCAGGTTTCTACGTTTATATTCGGGTGCATAAACCTTATTTTTAAGGTTTTACTTGGCTTAAAATTGAGTATAATATGATATGATTAACAATACTTTTATTAATTATTAATTAATTAAAATTATCAAATTTGTTGAAATTACGCTCGATTTTAATGCAATTAAAGCCTTAAAAAGCTCTCCAATATATTTTTAAATGTCCTACAGAGAATAGGAGGCTTTTAATTTAGTAATATAACGTAGACCTCATAGAAATATTGTAGAAAATAAATAATCATAAAGAGTAGAAGGCTTTTAATTAACATATATAATACTTGGAAGTAGTCAAGAGACCTCATAGAAGAGAGAATAAAATAGTATAGAGAGCGTAGAAGGCTTTTAATGAACATCATATAAGTTGAAGACGTGGGTATATAGGATGTCATAAAGGATAAAATATCATAAAATAATACATAGAAAGCTTTTAATTTACTAAAATATTAGTTGGGATGTGTAGAGAAGAGGAGAGAAAGACACAAAGATGTCAAAATTTTCGATAATTTTCTAGTTTTATTTAATAGAAAAATATAATATATTATCTTAAAATATAATAAATCACACGTGGAGATAGGTGGGTGAGATTATTTACGAAATTTAAGAGCTATCCTGGGGATCTAAATCCAAATAATATCACTGGAAATCTACCAATCGTTTTAATGACGAGTGAAAGTACACAAACAAGGCCACAAACGAGATCCATCGAGAGGAAAGAGTGCAAAGACCCAATATATATGTGGCTGAGACTGCATACACAAGCGAGTATCAAGATTTATTCTCGGATGCCATAAATATTTCATCTTCCCAAGTCGAATGTTAGGGACATACATTATTAATCCGAGTAGAAAAAACAGAAAAAAAAATAAGGGGGAAGAAGAAGAAGAAGAAGAAGGTGGAGGATGAAGAGGAGGAGGAGGAGGAAGGGGAAAAAAATGAGTAACTTTCTTCCCCGCATCTAGCCCTTAATGTATCCCTGTGGTGTAATATCGAAGCTAACCTCGGGTCCTAATAAATGTCACGTGACGCTAATGAATCAACTCGTTTCTAGAAGTAGAATAGATCGTCTGAATGTCTGAGCTTCTCATACTTACAGTAACTGAAGTGAGGTGAGACCTCGAAAGATGCCTTCGGGTAGATCCACTATTTTGTTGCCATACAGGACCCTGTAATGAGTATGCATCTGTATGAGTTATATCCGATTCAATTGTTCAATATTTTATCAGAATATATGTATACAAATATATTATATTATGTCGTTAGTATTTACATATCGTACTCTCTTACGTTACTTGAAGAAAGAAAGAAAAAAAAACATATTTTATATTAGTTTAAATGAATAATAATTAAAAAAATTTCGGTGTCTTCGTGTCGTGTTAACGTTACATTAATTAGTAAGACGTTTGTAGTTGACTGGACATATTTTTTTATTTATTTATTTTTTATTGTAGACAGAGGTAAACAGGGGGACAAAAGAAATGTTGTAATCAGGTTAATAGAGGTGTTTTTTTTTTTCTTTCGTGAAGTGAACATTTATTTCTTCAGTTGTACATTCTATCAGCATAATTCGATTATTCTATTGCTTGGCTTTAATCGAATTAGGAGCGGTTCAAAGCTGGAAAATCTTTTTATTCTTCCCTAGACAATACTTACAAAGAAGTGAGCGACTTTAAGCCATTAAAAACATCTCTGGCTATTTTCACAATTTGATTGTTACTCAGGTCTCTGAAATGAAGGGAAAAAAAGGTGTAAAAATATACAATCATTTATCTAAAATAATAATAATAATAATAATATTCATATATAAAATTTCGACTCATTAATTAACAATGTCATGGAACAGTAAAGGTGTTTTTAGCATCATTAAAACACATATTTCTTTAATTATTTTGGGGGGAAAAAAGGGTGAATTTTTCAGTGTGAAAAAGAAAATTAAATATAGAAATATGTAATAAAATGAAATTTATTCAAAATTATTTTGAAATTTTTCAAAAAAAAAATTATAGGGTCTGTGAATGGCATGGTTTAGAGTGTTGAGTGACAGAGATGATGGAAGAGAAAAATGATAATATAAGGAAAAAAAAACGTAATAGGAACACGAAGAAGATAAGATGAATGTGAAATATGCAAAATGGGATAGAAGAGAAGAGGAAACTGTGTATAAAAAATATTGCTGAAGGTGTTTACTATATATAAAATCATTTGTTTCAATAAACAATACAAACTATTATCTATCATAAAAAGTTTGTTTATGATATTAAAATGGAATAGAATTGAATGTAAACTATGCAAAGTGAGATAGAATAATGTTAACATATGCTTAAAATATCGTCGAGGATTCTTAAAAAAACAATAAATAATAGAAAATATTTGACACCAGATTAAGGCAATTCTTTAACTTTTCCACACTAAAAATTGATGCAACACGTAAAAATTATTAACTCGAAATAAACTGAAAAATTATTATTATCATTATAATTAAACATCATAGAAAACGTACATTAAAAAGAAAGAAAGCAGAACACAGCAATGAAAATTTAAGAAGATTTAACAATTAATTAAAGAAGATTAAAAGTTAGTAGATAATTTTTAATCATTTCGGGAGAAAACGAAAGAAAAATTTTCCGACAGAAGTCAAAACGTTAACGAACGAGAGATTAAATGTTTATTTTAAAAAAAAAAAAACTAAAAATAAAAATACTTACATTCTCTGTAATCTCTTGTAAGGTACGAATGCTTTGGATGGTATTTCTGTGATCCGATTCTGTTCCAATCTCCTAAAAGAAGACAAAGAAAAGAACAGTTAAGCCCAACAGTTCCGTTACGAGTTGACTTTCGTTGCAGTCTAATTGGAAAAAGGAAAATCGTTAAAGGTGTTAGCTCCGTTCGTAGTTCCGTCCGTCCTCACGCGCGATCGAGTCTACCTCACACCAGAAATGATTCCAAAGAAATATTTTTAACTTCCACATCTACTAGAAGAGTGTCTCGATTGTACGTCACAATTAAATGTGTCTAGTTACTGTGGCACGTGTGTTTTCAATTGCTTAAGCTCGTCTGTAACTCATAGGTGGTCCTCGGCTTTATACAAGTGTGTTGAATAAAGCGGATATGTTGATTGGTCGAGCCAACGTACTGTACGTCCCGTACGCTGCTCGACGAATCAAAATAATACTAATCCTATACGCTGCGTAATGTCTTTGTGTAGCTTACGGGGTAGCCCAAAAGTCAGTTTACCGTGTTTTCTGTATTGTAATTTGAATTGGGTCTCATTTTGAACACCTTCTTCGCCATTTCTAAGCAATCAAATATTTGAATAAGTCTAATAATTAATGGTTAACCGACTTTTGGGACACTCTTTGTATACATATTAATCGCACGCAAACGTGACTGATGTGATAAGGGATAGAGGGGGATTATTGATAGCCATGTAAAATTCATGCGTTAAATGGAAGTTAATTAAGTTCAACACGTTATTAATTTATTGCTGTTCATCACGTGTTTATATTTTTGGCACATTCCTAGTGTGTTGCACCAATTTTAAAGCCTGTTACAACTACAGAATCAGGTGAAGTACGATTTCTCATTTGATTGGCTGTAATTAAAAAACGGCTTAACAGATTAAAACAATTTTTATCTCGAAAAATTCGTTACATTCGACTAATAATATCGTGAAATTTTCGAAGTGTTCCGGTACCAGAAGCGGAAGTTATTGTCAATTTTATATTACGTTCGCGTCGCGTCGCGTTGTGTCGCGATGCGGCGCATCAAATCTACGTATAGATAATTCCGTTGTCGTTAACAATTAATTTAAAGTAATAAAATCTTTTTATGAGTTAAAATGAATTGTAGTCTTATTTATAATGTTTAATTTATTGTTTTATTTTGCTAAATCTAAGTTTCAATCACATTTTACTAGAAATCGCGTCGCTTCGCTTTGGATCCAATATGGCAGACGTTACACGATGAATCACTTTTATATGTTTTTATGGTTTCTAAGAATGTAAGGAATCTTGATTAAAAAATATATATATATATCTAAATGTATTTATATCTTATTTAATAGACTGTAATTTGGCGAGGATATTACTAAATGACGCAATATAGGGGAAGAATTCTTACTTCTTTCAATAGAAAAGTAATTGCTTGAAGTGAAAGTTTTATCAAACTCAAGTAGATTTTTATCAAGTTAAAATTTTCAATTTATTTTACAACAGATTCTGCTTTTATTGCTTATTTTAAAGGCCATTAGATTTTGTTTTCAATTGCTAAACGCGTTAACTGTTCATCGATTCTCTTTTAAAGTACAGTACTTTTCTTCGAAGCTATCGACTCAATTTAAAAATAATTGTATATAAATTACTTAGAATGTCTCAAATAATATTAATATTTGCGGCAATAAATTCTTTTTACTGTTTGTTTATTATATAAAAAACAAATTAATTTTAGCTACCATCGATCAATCACTCTCATCAGATCAATCTTTAGGTATAGTGATCAATCAATCCCGTATTAACTTTGTGTAAGGGTAAAAACCTGTCTAAAACGGTTACACGCAAGGCAGAAACCTGTCTTGAACAGTCCTGTAGAAAGCAAATCTCTCTTAAACCTATACAAAACAAAAACCTGTTCTAAAACTGTCCTGTACGAACAGAAAACCTGTCTAAAACGGTCATATAAAAAAAAGATCTATTCTAAAACAGTCCTGTACAAGCATAAACTTGTAATAAACGGTCATAAACCTGTCATAGACATACGAAACAAAAACCTGTCTAAAACGGTCATATACGAAACAGAGACCCGTCTAAAACAAAAATAGTTATTATGAGAACACAGTTACATAATATAACCCTAGTAAAAGCGTGAAGTTTATGGTGTTTAACCTAATCTAAATTCTGAATTTTAATTAATGATGTGGGCACGAATCACAGTCAACCTGTCAGTGACGATATTTAGTCAAGCATTTGTTTTCTTTGTTAACACTCCACTGTGACGGTTCAACTTCCCAACTCTCTAGAATAATTAATTAATAAATAAATAAAAAACCTCGTAAAAACGTCGACCTGTTAATTAAAATACAACAAACTCTACCGAGTTCCTTCTTAAGCAGGTTTAAAGCATTATAGGTCAAATCGATAGCAAAAAAAAAGAAAAAACGTTATAATATTTTCTATATTTTATTCCTCCATAAATATGTGTTCCTCTCCTGTGCACATCGCTTTACTTTCTTCCTTTTCCTTCTAAATGTATTTCTTCTACCTCTATCAATTTCTTGCTGTTACTTTTCCTTTCTTTTCTTCTTTCCTATCACTTTCTTTCTAAGGACTTTCTGTTTTTCCTCTTTCTGCCAAGAAATATTTTGATACTTCGCTACTATATCCCTGTTAAGCTACACCAAAATCTATTCATCTCCACCTACATTTTCCATGCATATACAACAACATTATTCACTTCCACCCCTAATAAATCTTACTTCTTAAGTAGAAAAGAAAAAAAATCCTTAAAGAAAACAAAATAAGGGAGTTAAAGTAAAGAAAAAATAGAAAGTAGACATCATCTTCCACGAAAACTTTCAAAGGAGTAACTTTTATAACTCTTTATTATGGAGGTAGCGACGTTTCTTAAAGCGTACCCTGTCAAAATTTAATGTTTTACGTTCGAAATTACGATATATTTAAGGATTTTTTTTAAATTTCGTGTATATTTTTCGGTTTATTTCTAAAAAAAAAAAAAATAAAAACCTTAAAAATTCCACCCGTTTTGCTTCCTTTCTGAGGAATTTTTATGCGAAAACTGCCGAAGTACTTTGATGTGCATTAGTCAAAATCCAGTGGGTTAATGCTGAAAGGAATGCCTAGAATATATATATATATATTTTTCTGGCTCTACACTATCCAATTCTTAAAGGGGAAGGTAATATCTACAGAAGGGATGCCAACCGCCATCGTAAAAGTAGTATTAAATTTGATTTAACGACTTCATACGAAAGCGTTATAAAAGTTGAGAACCGAGCCACGATCTCCTTATTAGATATGTGTTTTACATTGGTGCGTATGTTTCCTATGGCCAAATATTTGTAATAACTTCTGCAGATTCGCTTCCAATCATCGAATCAATGCCTCCTTCCCCCTTTAAAACGCTTCACCCCCTTTTCTCTCGTTTCTTCTGCCATTCCTCCACTAAACGTTTCGATTTAATGGACATTTGTAGATCTTTCTCAATATTTTTCTTTATTTTAATGACGAAAAATTGAAGTTAAATCTCTTTAAATTATATATTTTAAAGAATTCGACACACTTTTCCTTAAAAAATTAAAAGAAAATACGTTTATTTGGTGCTTATATATAGAAACGTATACCCAATACTTAAATATGGTGGATGTAAACATTTTTATTTTTTAAACTTTTTAAAATATACTTTTATATTATTTATTAGAAAATATTCTATATAATATTCGGTCCTATAAACAGAAACCTGCCTAAAACAGTGCTGTACAAAACAGAAACCTGTCTTAATCGGCCTTGTAAACAGAAACTCCTCTAGAACAGTTCTTTACAAAGAAGAAACCCACCTATATCGGCCCCATACAAAACAAAAAAAATCTCTCTTAAACAGTCCCATACAAAATAGAAACCTGTCTAGAGCGAAAATTTGTATGTTTGGAAAACAGTTATAAGTAATATGAACTTAGTAATGCGGACATTTTCGGTGTTACAGCAGCTCTAATTCTTAATTTTAATCAATGCAGCGAGTTCGAATCAGAGTCGACCCGTCAGCAATTTGGGCTGTAATTTAAAAAACTCGTAGACTTATAAATTCCCTACTGTCGTTTGTCTGTCTTTATTTATTTACTATTTTCTTTAATTTCAATTCAATTCAATTCAATTCGATTTTATTTTATTAGCGTAATTTGGAAAAAATCCCAGTTACAAGGGGTTCATTGGCTTACAAATATTAATGAATATATATCTTCCAACAATAAATAATTNAGAATAACGAAGGTCTAGGGCAAAATATAAATTAGATTATTACATTAAAGAAAGTAAACGAAAAAAAAAAACATTGTATAGGGGGCCCCTAATTCCTCGGGTCCAAGGCTCCTTTTGTCCCTTTTCTCGGCGTTCATGTATATATATATATATATATATTGTTTAGTCATTAATTTTTATTTTCTAATTTAAAATATGTTAGATTGAAATGATTAACATACATACCATGTGCGTCACTCCACCAATTAAATTTGTAAAATATTTTCAGATTATTAAAGACAGAAATAAAGCTATTACTGATTTAATTCGAAAATTGCGAGTTAATTGATGTAATGCGTACCAGAAAAGTAAACAAGAATTTTTTTAAAATTAGAATTGATATCATCAGTTTGTTTATCGTCCTTTATTACAAATAGTTATTTAAAGTTAAACTTTTGTATAATAGAAATTTTGTCCCCAAAACACAGACATTTTCCCCCAAACAAAAATTTCCCGAAAACCAGAAATTTTCCTTAAAAAAAAAACCAGATATTCTTCAAAATCAGAAACTTTCCTTTGGAAAACCAGACATTTTCCCCAAAATCAGAAATTTCCTTTAAAAAACAGGCATTTTTACCCCAAAACCAGAAATTTCCCTCCAAAATACCAATTTTCCCCAAACCAGAAATTTCCCTTCTGAAAACCAGACATTTCCCCCAAACCAGAAACTTCCCTTAAGAAAACCGGAAAATTTCCCCAAACCAGAAATTTCCCTTAAAAAAAAAACCAGACATTTTTCCCAAACCAGAAATTTTCCTTCAAAGAAAACAGACATTTTCCAACCGTATCTATAAACTTTTTTATAACTCAGAAACAAAACGGTCTTAACCCCATACAAAAACTCTTATCCAGGGGTCATAAACGATGACTAAACTATTATATTTTTTTATATTTTTATTTCTTAGTTTCATTCTCTTCTTTATAAAATTCTTAGTACTTAAATAAGATTCTTATTCCGATATAAAACTTCCCATTAACTTCAAAGAAATAAGGAAATACCTTTCGGGTAATTGGTCATGAAACTCTGCCATTTTTTTTTTTGTTATTTTTTTTTGGAGGGGAGAAAAAAATGACTGGTCCACTAGAGATAGGAGGATTGGAGGGGGGAATAAAGAAGCTGCAAGACTGAAAAACGACCTTATAAAGATAAAGGATTAGGGAGGAAAATTCTATTTCAACCAAAACTACAACTAGTCAATAGGAACAACTGGTGAATAGGAAAACTGGTGCAGAGTGAAACACAAGAACTGATAGGATTAGTTGCTTAATAAAACATGCCTTAGCTGGGAGAAGTAGGCAATCTAATCCTTAGCTCTAGAAAGGTACGTTGGAGTAATCCTCTAGGAAATCGGTACTTGAGTAAACAAGACCACCTGCAAACTCCTCTTCTTCTTCTTTTTTTCTTTGTTTCTCTCTCTCTCTCCCTATGTTCTCCCTTCCGCCTACGATCAAAGGTAGCAACACCCTACCATGTCACGCAGATCATAGATAGGTAATGCAACTGGAAATCTACAGGTGCTCCCCTTGCCAGTGTATGATATTATAAATTTTAACATCTAGTGCGTAGGTAGGGTTGAGATTCTAATCTGGTGTGTTGGGGTTTTCTGGGAGGTGTTTTGGGTTCTGTTGCTTTCCTTAGTGTTTGCCAGACAGACACATGTGACGTTTCTTTCCTCTAAACGTGTAGGGGACATCCGAATTTGGCAGTGGTTCCTGTGTCGTGATTGGCATCGATGGAATAAAAGGAGTGGGAGTTGCTATTTGTTTTATATCTGCTTTCTGTGTTAATAAAACCTTCGATTTATTTTTCTTTTTATTTTAAATTAATTTTTTCGTTACTTTTTACCGTGCTTTAATTTTTAATTTTTGAAATATTTTTTTGTAAATATTTAATTTAAATTTTTAACACGAGATCGTATAATTTATTATAGCCATTAACTTTAATGACAACTGACTTGTAATTCGCTAAAATTACAAGCGGTAATCTGGAATGACGTAACAATATAAAACACGTAATAATTCATAAGGAATAATGACGTAACAATGTCATATTTAATAATTAATTTACACGAGAACGGTATAACACTAAGAATTGAAAACGACTACGTAACAATACTGTTACGTAATTTGTTTTGTATCAATTATTACGTCATCACGTTTTATTTTGTATTGTTACGTCATTATGTAAATAAAATACAGTAATCGACATATAAAATTATGGCTTACAATACAAAATTAATCCATAACAATGTATTTTTACTATTACGTCATTATTCGCGCGAGACAAACAATATACAACAAATAATTGTTGTATAATGTTTGACGTAATAATAAAAAAAATAATTCTTAATTATTATTATTATTATTTTTTCATTTATTTTATATCAATTAAAGCAATCTAAATTTATCATTTTTAAAAAAAATTTCCCTTGATTTATTTATTTTTTTAATTAAGAAAAAAACATAAATTTAATTAAAGGAATAATTCAATTAAATACTCGTGTATCAAAGCAACATTTTAATTAATTACATTAATAGTAAATAGCTAATTTAAATTTGAAAATGCCTTTATATACAGTACTGTACGTTGACAAACAGGTACAAGAGCCCTTACAAAGGGAGAAAGAGAGAGTTTACTTGGGGTCTTTTTTTTTTCTTCTGTGTTTTTACTCGGACTTAAATAAATTTGACTGTTGTTAACAAGTTTTAAAGCATTCTTTGTTGTTCTAACGACGTTTCCCCCCTCCAAAACAATTAGCAACAGACGAGTTAGAAAATAATTCTCTTAGGATTTTTCCATAGGGCAACGACTTCTAAATTATCACTGCTTGATTTTATTGTAGTATCAATTGTTGAAGTGGCACGGTCGAAATAAAAGTAATCACTGAAGATTGTTTTTATGTGCAATTGAGAACAATAGACATGATCTCGTTTGCCCTTCGGTCGAAACGTGGGAGATTCTTAATTGCTTCACCCCGAGAGGACCTTCAAAACTACCTTCCTCTTTCCTATCCTTCGTTCCTGCTAGACCCACTTCATTTATTTTTATTTGGGATAATTCTAACGAAATTATTATTATTTTCTTTTTTCGAGTGAAAATTTGAGTGAAAAATAATTTTCTAAGGCGATTTTTCTTTGGCTATTTTTAAATTTATTCTTGTTCGAACATAATCTTTTTTTTTTTTTTTAGTTTATTTGTTGGAGTATGTGAAAATACAGTGAAACCTGTGTAAAACGGAACTTGCTTAAAACGGAAACCTGGCTAAACGGAAATACTCTTCGAAACCGGGAAATTTTCTATGTTCAAAAGAACCTGTTTTAAACGGAAATACTCTTCGAAACCGGGAAATTTTCTGTACAAAAGAACCTGTTTTAAACGGAAATACTATTCGAAACGAGGCAATTTTCTACGTTCAAATGAACCTGTTTTAAACGAAAATACTCTTCGAAACGGGGCAATTTTTTATGTAGAAAAGAACCTGTTTTAAACGGGAATACTTTTCGAAACGGGGCAATTTTCTACGTTCAAAAGAACCTGCTTTAAACGGAAATAGTCTTCGAAACGGGGCAATTTTTTATGTTCAAAAAAACCTGTTCTAAACAAAAACCTGCGTAAACAAATAGAAAAAAAATAGCTGCAATTTTCAAATTGCACACCTGTACAGTACATTTCCATTGTCGTTCGTTCATCAGTCCGTCTGTCTGTCGAGAACGGAGTTAGATAAATGTAAATCCAGACCAGATATAGAAAGCTTAAAAGCAGGAGACTCCAATTAAATATACACGTTCTTCCTGCCTGGACCGAATATCATGTGATTTTCATTTGAATATATATACATAAATACGACATTTTATGATATTTTTAACCTCAATTTTTTTTTTAAATTTAAACCTAAAAAAACCCTTCTATTTTTTTTAATTATAATTATTAAAATCTTAAACGTTTTAAGTATTTATAAATCAGGTGATGGAAACAACTATTTTAGAGAGAAAGAAGGCGAAAGATAGTGAAAGAGAGGGGGGTTCTTCAGAAGAGATAAGAAGATGAGATAAGATAGAGATTTTTCACGTGACTTTTCAGCATCCTCTTACATCCAACGGGCTTATTCATGCCCAATTTCATAGCGAAATTACTACTTGTACAAACAGATCCGCCTTAGAAGGTACCACCTATCACCTTCATCCTATAAACCTATTATTAGTACGAAGATGTGATATATTCTTCGACTCCAAAGCTTTAAAACTTTGAATGAATTTGATGATATCTTTGTATACCAAGAAAATAAATATGAAGAAAATATCCTCATCAATATCCTTTAGCGACAATTTAGTAAATTTGCCTTTCAATTTTTTTACTAGGAGCCACCCAATTTGCCTTTCAATTTACCATTTTGCACGCCACTACTTATATATATATTTTTAATAATGTTTTATGGAGTAATTAAAGTATTTAATGCTTAAATTTAAATAAGTAATGGCTGATTTATAGTTTGATATAGAAAATTCTCGTAGGTAAAGGGGACCAGTGCCAAAAATTCAACCAGAAGGAGTGCAAGTGGATATCACCTCTCGGTTGTTTACGTAGATAGTGCACGCTCTATTGATGACAAACGATATCATGGCCTGACCCATTTCCTTTCAGTCAAAAGGAAGAGCATTAATGTCTTTCCATTAGACACTGGAAGCAATGAGCCACATCTTTTGGATTGCACACAAGTAAAATTACAGATTCTCCAAATTACAGGGGCTATAATATTTTATACTAAGCACAAAAATTTTTTCTTAAAGGATTTATAGGGTTTAATACCCCTATAAATTTCATTTAAAATATATTTTTCTTTAATTATTTACATTCCTTCTGATGTAATTCGCCCGATTTAATTCATAATAAACACGTCACAATAACGATTCGTAATAATTGTTATCGATATGACGTAATAATAGCGAAACGTAATAATTGTTATAATCGATTACAAGCGCGTTATGATTATTACGCAATAATGAATATGCCGTGACGTAATAATAGTTTTTTTTCTCTCTCTCTTACGTAATAATGTAATGACGTTATAGAAATGACAGTTACGTAATAATAATAAACACTATAATATTGTTACGTCAATTCCACAATTTTAAACAGAATTAAAGATATTTTACACGTAATTTAATCAATTTTTTTAAATAATTAATACTAAAAAAATGCTTTTTAATTACTAATTCGCAATTTTTAAGATTGTAAATTAATTTTAAAATATTAAAAAAAATACATAAATTTAACATTACTTTTTACTGTTAAAATTAATTTATAAGCATTTATAGAGGTGTAATATAGTGAAAAGATTGCTTACAGTTCAGTTGTAGAATCAGGGATGTGATCAGGGATTCTTGTTAGTCCCTTATCCCTGCAGTCAACCATTCCATTGTAACAAGTACACAGATCAGGACACATCGGCTCTCTGATACATCCAGAAGGTGCAACGTCTTCTACACCTATTTGTAAGCACATTTATTAAATATATTAACATATAAACTAGTGTTTAGACCACAGAAATATTTTTAATATTTATAAAGGAACGAGATAAAATTAAAATTAAATGAATAGAGAGAGATCATCATTGATTAAATATGTATAATGTTTCCATAAGATGGAAGTCAAATATGGTAAAGATAACTTCTCTAACTTCATCTATACATAAACTAAAACAATCACAATATAGCAAAGTTGCTGTAAGTCATTTTATCATGCAAACATATAAGAGAGACAGTGGAAGAAAGGGAGGAAGAAGAGAAAGAGAGAGATGGGGGATGGAGGGATGTAGGGGAGGAGAGATTTATTTATTCAACCCTGAAAAAAGCTTGTATGATGCAGCTTCTCCTAACTGTTTTTCATCTCTTATATCATCGCTATAGACTAATGAAAACAAATGTGACGGTATGCCAAAGGCGGTGTACGGTTGTGTTACCATACTACATAATGAATTGCTACAGAATCTGTTTGTATTGAGGAAAGGGGAGAGGAAAAAAACAATCCAGTCCTACACGCGCTATACAGTATTAAAGGGGCTTAGAGTCACCTGCTTTGTCAACATTGTTTTCCTTTTTTTTTTTAGTATTATTATTATTATTACTTCTTTGTTACAAAACTGGAATTCTTCTATATGCAACTTAATCTTCTTCTTGTTTATACGTTCCTTCATCTTTCTGACGGATCCTTTTTTTATATATAAATGTGAATTTATGAGGTGTAAAGCGATAGAACAACTGTTTTCACTGAATTATATGGAAATTTTTAAAGCATAAATCAAGGTTTTTTTTACGTTAAAAGATGAAAAAATTCGATGCATGCTCGCATGTTTATCTGTTTAAAAGCTAAGAGTTCGAGTAGTTTAAATTCAATTTTTTATTATTTACTGAGATAAAATGTTTTAAAATTCTTCTTCCTTTATGAATTTTTAACGATTGTACAGTTTTAAATTGTTCAAAACTAATTTTTAAAGGAGGAAGATAAAGAAGTAAACTAAAATCTATCACAGGAAGTTCTTATTAAGTAACGTATTTTGAATTTATAAATCATAAAAATCGCATCAAATACTTAATAAAAACGTCTGTAACTATTAAATAAATCTAATTTTTTTTATACATTTCATTTCCTACTTAAAGAAAACTCGAAATTCCTTCAGAATTTCTAAGGCAGAAAGGAATCTTCAAACAATTTTAACTGAAAATCTCTTTGAAGTTAGACAGTTTTACACACTTTAAAAGCATAAAAGGGAGTATTTTTATATATATAAAAAAACTAATTTTTAAAAGCATAAAAAAAAAATCGAGTGAAGATAACATTTTGTGAAAGGTACCATCTACCCCGAATACGTTAGTAGGCACGTTCTCACTTTCTTGTATTGTGAATCAAGGAAGCTAAATAGTTGAGACATTCACGTGTCGAGGGAATATCGTCAATTTGTAGACATAGAAAGAGCCTTTACATAATTGATTACCATCTATTTTGACAATGTAGATTCAATTAGCAGTCAATGTGGCAAGGTGCTGGCTACATTTTCTCCAATTGTCTGTCATTCATTCACTTTACCTTCTATTCAACCTCTTCCGTAATTTAATAGCGAGTGTAGTAAGTAAAGGAGATGCTTCCCATTCTGTCGGAATGTGATTTTTGTAGACGTGCAAAAAATCCCGATATCGTTCTTTCGTCTTTGTGGCTTCAAAATATAAAAATTCCCATTAAATCCACCCATTTTTGAGTATTGAATTACTCCATTTAAGGCGTATTTCCTTTGTTTTATACGTTGGAATCTTTGTCGAAATGATGACAAAACCTTTGGTTTTTCAGTTTTTTCTTCGTTAACTCGTTGAAATCTTTGTTGAAGTGAAAATAAACCTTAATTTTCGTGCTTATTTTTAGTTTTTACGTTGAAATTATTACAATTTACACATTGAAATCTTTGCTGAAGTGAAGGGGGGGAAAAAAGAAAACTTTGGTTTTCATCTTGAAAAAATACACCAGTTTATTTCTCAGTAATTATTAGTTAATTCGTTGAAATCGCTGCCAACTGTAGAAGCTACAATCACGTAAGTGAGATAACATATAATTTTCAAAAATAGAGTGGCGATAAAATACCTTTCGTTTAAAAACCGCTTGAGATATAATCAGTTTGCCGATCATAAGTCAATGTCATTTATGACCTTCATAAGTTAAGATATCAAGGAAGAAGGTTGCAGACCGAGTAAGAAATCACAAGTTTGATCGAATTGATGGATTGGATGCTAAACAAAATGTGTTCCACGATTCTTTTCCATTTAATTTTTTTTTATCTAGAACTAAATTAGATGCTGGGAAAACTCTTGAAATTGTTAGAAGACAGCGGGATAATCATTGAAATCGTTAGAAAACTGAACGAAAATCCTTAAAATCGTTAAAAAATCGAACGAAAATCCTTAAAATCGTTAGAAAACTGAACGAAAATCCTTAAAAGCGTTAGAAAACCGAACGAAAATCCTTAAAATCTTTAGAAAACTGAACGAAAATTTTTAAAATCGTTAGAAGACAGTACGAAAATCCTTAAAATCGTTAGAAAACTGAACGAAAATTTTTAAAATCGTTAGAAGACAGTACGAAAATCCTTAAAATCGTTAGAAGACAGTACGAAAATCCTTGGCATTCTTAGAAAATGGCATGAAAAGCCTTGAAATCGTTTTACAATAATATGAAAACTGTTGAGATCGTTAGAAGACTTCATGAAAATTCTAAAAATCCTTAGAAAATGTAATAAAAATCCTTGAAATTGTTATAAAATGGCATTAAAGAAACAGTTTAAAACATTAGAAGACAGCATGAAAACTCTTGAAATTCTTAGAAAATGACACCAAAGTCTTTAAAATCGTTAAAACCGTCATGAAAACCCTTGAAATCGTTATAAATTTCTCGTAAATTTTGCTAAGATTCAATTTATTTTTTAACACTTTTCTCAATTTACGTATCGTTTCAAGCTTTTTCTATAAAATACCTACAAAAATATTAATTACAATTAAATTAATTACAAAATTGTTAAAAATGAAAACGATTTAAAATAATCTTTCGTGTCATTTTAAATATAAATAATGAATACGTTTCCCTTAGAAAATTTCGACCCGCAACAGATGATACTTTCTTTCTCTTAATTCGGTTCTAAAATAATGTTTAATTACCATTAACTTTTGAAAAACAAACCCATTTAACATCATTCAATATAAGTTTTAGAAGCTTAAATTAATCTGATGAACGAATGCAATCATCAGTAAAAGAAAAACAAAGATCCGTAATTCTCATTAACTTAATGATGAAAGGAGGAGTAAGGTTACAGATTCAACAAGATTTTCTTCTCCTCTGCTTAGAAGATAAATTAAGAATGTTATATGTGGTAAGTGATAGAGAATTAGACTAATCATTAGGGACAAATTCCTATCAAACTAGGTTCATAAACTTCGAAGAGTGAAGAAGATATGAGCAAGTTATAATGGAGATTACATAAAAATTAAGCTTCCATAAGGGGAAAAAACATTAAAATTTTCAATCCCCTTAAGGTTCAAAGTTGAAATTTTAATTAACAGGACCTTTAATTATAAAGTTACAAAGATTCCCTCTATAAAAATGATTCCAACTAGTTTAAGGATCTATATAAATGATGTAGGTGCATTAACATCCTCATTAAATCTTCGTTTAGGATCTTTATTAATATAATGAAAGAGGGTTTAATGATGATTTTAATGCTTTACCATGCCACTTGCATTCTTTATATTCCGCGAATAGATTAAATAATGTTGAAGAAAAGTGGATCCATTCCGAAAACACACAACACTTCCACACGAAGAAATGAGAAAGAAGATCCACACGGTTAAGCGGAAACCCCTGTTGTAATTACAATTGGGAGTTAGGGGGATCCACTAATCCAACTGTTTCTGGTTTGGACTTTCTCAGGGATCATCTAAGTCCACGTTCTTGTTCTACATCCTCCGACTACATCGATCGATGTTCTAACTAAAAGATTTTTAGTTAATTTAGAGCATTACCATTCACTTTAGAGTCTGTTCGTAGAGTTTTTTGTCTTCTTCTTCTTCTTCTTCTTCTTCCTCCCGAGAACGTGACGTGGGCTTAACAAATGCAGATTAGGCCAATCGTCACGTTCTAGACAAGATTAAAGTGCCGACACGTGATCGGGATACGTATCTTTTCTCTTTTACTGTCCAATGACATCTTCGTTAGGGAAGGAAAGGGCCGACACAATGGCAGCATCTAGTTATGAAGTGGCGAAACAAGTTTTAATCTTCTCTAAAATGCCATTAAGTGATTTAAAGTGGCAAACTCGTTCGTTTAATGAATACAAAAATGGCATTAAACAATATCAAATAAGAGGGGAGGAAGAGGAAAAAAAAAAAAAGAAAACCCCTTTCACAAAAAACAGGCAGGAATTTTATTATTATTTATTTATTTATTTAATGGTGTAGAACCTCTAAAGACGGCCACTGATCAGAACGTAAAGGATAAGGAGGTTAGTTGTATGTTCCATCTTAATTTAATACAGTAAAACCTTTAAACCACAGCTACTAACGTTGTTCGAAGGTTGCTTTGTGTGCAGTTTTTATCATTTATTTAAATAGAGTCAAACCTTTAAACGACGGCCACATAAAAAAAATGGCCGTTGTTTAGTGTTTTGGAGGTTATATATGTACTGTATGTACTTTATATGTACTTATATGTACTTTATATGTACTGTACAAGACAAGCAACCTTTTAATTTATTTAATACATTAAAACCTCTAAATGGCGGCCACTAACGAGATGGACGTTGTTCGGGGGTTGCTTTGTATGGAGGATTTTTTATTATTATCAGCAGTTAATTTAATACAGTCAAACCTTTAAATGACGGCCACTTATCACAACATAAAAAAGGATGGCCGTTGTTTACAGGTGATCGGTGTTGGAGGTTACTCTTAATTTATTTAATACAGTAAAACCTCTGAAAGACGGACACTAACGAAAACAAAGGGAGTTTACTTTATACGCATCGAACCTATGAACGACGGACACTGAAAAGAACACAAAAGAAGTTAGCCGTTATTCGAAGGTTACTTTGTATGCATTTCCTGAAAAAATGGCTACCATTTAGAGGTGGCCGTCGTTGGAGGTTGGCGAAAAAAGTCTAATTCTACGTCAATATTACGTCACTTTTTCATTTTTACAGTAAACAGACGTAAAAAATAACGTCAAAATGACGTCACCGCTTGAAACAAAACACCCTCTTTTTTTTTTTTTTAATTTCAGGAGCTAAAAACAGAAATAATTTCAAATTTTATCGCATGTTTAAGCATTTAGAAAGGTGAATAATTTTAATTTCTGTCTGTGAAACTATCCAAAAAGAATTGAATTTAATATACTGTATTTTCCTGCCCCTTTAAAAGCATGAAAATCATTGTGTAGAGAGCGGATAATTCAAGAAAATCTAATTAATTTCAGCGAAACGTATGACTAAATTGGACTTTATAGACAGGTTCTGTATCAATGCGAGTACTAAAAAAAAAAATATAGCTAACAAGAAATAAATTGGCTATTGAAGCTAGTAATAAAAGGTTTGTAAGGCCATTAAGTGATGAATGCGGATGTTGAAAATCTATAATACTAGAGAAAGGGATGAAATGAGGATTATTGTTGCTATGAAACGGTAGATGAATGGATGTTCGATGAAGAAATTAAGTTTAAAACGAATTTGTGCCCATTATTATATTAGTATTTACACTAAATTCTTCATAGGTATTCATTTTTTAATGGAAAATTTCATTGTATTGGGATGCGGAGGAAGAGATTCCTCATTCTCATCTCTTAAAATTATTAACAAATCAATTATTATTTTACTGTAGAGTGATAAATTATTGGCATTTTATTATTTAAAATTAATATTTTTAGGCATTTCTGATACAAAATTATGCCTTTTTTTGGAATAACTCTATACGATTATGGGTGCAGAGCCTCACTGGAGTAGGCTCTACTCTAGGTTAGAGAATGGTAGAGAGTAGGAAACAGGTGTAAAGATCACTGAGAAAATTGTACTGACATTTTTGTATCTTCATCCTATCTGCTTCATCTTATCTTTTCCTTTCTCCATCCTAGAGTAGACATTATTAGGGATGCATATCCTATTCAAGAGATGCTCTGCATCCATTTATGATACCTACTGTAGGCTGGAGTAAGGAAGAAAGTGAGGGAATGAGAAAGAAGATGAAGGAAGGAATGAGATCTGAGGGGTAATGAGTAGATGTTTTTTTTATCTTTATCCTATTTCTTCCTTTCTCCAGCCTAGAGTAGGCATTATTAGGGATGCAGATCCTACTCAAGAGATTCTCTTCACCCCCAAATGATGCTGGAGAAAGGATGAGAAAAGGGTAAGAAGGTCGCAGCAAATGGAGTGAAGATATAAAAACATTTATGTTCTTTAATTTAACAATAATTATTAAAATAAATGCTTAGAAACATCCTTCAGAATTAGTTTTTAATATTTAACAAATACACTTTTATATAATTTCATATAGACATAATTAAATAATATTAAATTTAATAAATTCCTTAATATGAAAGGAATATTTAGAGTGGAATTGCAGATAAGATAAACAAGTTAGTGCCTCAAATTTTCTCATTTATAATTAACGGTGAAAGGGAAGAGACTTTTATAGACTAAGTTTAGCCCTGGAAACGTTATAAATTACTCATAAATTATTTTTAAAAATGGAGATAAAAAGAGAAAAAAAGCTATTGGATAAGCTTAAAATATTAAGATAAATGTTAATTATTAAATGTTCCTGGAGACTTTCAGGTTATTTGAATAAAAGCAAAATGGAATTTAACTCCTTTAGGCCATGTAAATTTCGTGTTTACAAAATTCGAATATAAATTATGAATTATCCATTAAGTAAAGAGGGGAAGAAAACGAAGAAGAGAAGAAGTAAACACACGACAACACGAAAGCTTCTTTTGAATTTCAAAACATTAAAATGGGGTCCTTTTATACTTTTACCATTCAGAAATTTTGTCTATTGAAATATATTGCCCAATTTTCTGTTTACTTTTATACAAATGAATCCAATTTGAATAACCCAAACAACTCTCCCCCTCCTCTCTCTCTATGCTGAGTAACTATGATTTTACTTCTCCTTTCTTCATTTACATATACATATAAATTAATATTATCTTATTGTTACGCAATACAAGAGGAACAAAGGATAGTGTCTCACCGTTACAACGAAAATCTGATTCGTGTAGTTCGGCTATGGCCTTGTTTCGTAGATAAAAAGGCATAAAACAACGAGAAAAAAGGCCTAGACGTGGGCTCCTCCTTAACCATCCTGCCAACCAGGATAAGTGGCAGTCGCAGGTGAAAGGGTTATCCGATATCCTTCTGAAAAATATAGAAATATATATATATATATATATAATCACGTGTGGAGGAAGGGGAGACAACCTTGACCTTTGTTTCGTGTCAGGTGAACTGATTTGATAGAGGAGACAAAGTGTCAAGAGACTTATGACATCTGTCAAACTACCTGCTCTTCTACTTTATCTTATACGAGAATAGAAGTAAATTATCTTAGGGGGGGAGTTAAAAATAACACTTACAACACTCGTAGTTTCTTCATATTCTCGAACAGATCTCGTCCAAGTGTCGTTATATTGTTCCTGTTTAGTGTCCTGAAACGTAAAAAAAACACTCGTTTAATACGTAATTTCCGGTTTAATTACGTAATATTATACGAAATAATACTTACAATATTTCTATGTCTTTTAGTCCCTTTATGGCTGCATCGTCGATGCATGTCAATTCATTATTATCAACTTGCCTGTAATTTAAATGATAATTTTTTATTGTATCGCGTGGATAAATCTTTATAATTTATTAATTATAAACTGGAATTAGTTTTAATATTATATAATAATCCTTAAAATAATTATTTAGACCTTTATATTAATATAATTAAAGCTTATATAAATCATATTCCTGTTTACGTAGTGAGAATCGAGCGAAGTTTAATTAATTATAATTAATTGAATTGAGAGACAAACTTCAAGGAGGTTGATAGTTTATTATATGTTTAGTTTATTCTATAATGTCTCAATCGGTAGCTCGCGGTCCCCACTTATTGAACGGAAGTAAATCAGTTGTTTGAAACGTTAAATTACATTTTTATGCACCAAATAAAGTACCACTATGCTTCTGTACCGATATAAATGCATAATAATCGATACTTTCCGTGTTTACATAATGAAAACTTAGCGTAATTTACTTCGCCTTTGATAACCTAGAGTATGTTTAGCTTACGACAATGTCTCTCAACTGGTAGATCGCGATCTCATTCTCCTCCAGTGGTATAAAGGAAGTATCTAATTGAAGAGGAGGATCAAATACCATAAACAAAACACGTGAAAGGTGTAACCACCTTTTTTTCTGTTTAAATTATGGTTTTATAAGCCAAATAGAGGGCCATTACCGCTTGTAAGAGCATCATAATTGACACTCTCATCAAAGTAAACCTCCATTAGCGCTGGCAACGTCTGAAGATACACCCTATTAGCGACGTTCTCACCTCCAAAAATCCTATTAATTTCCGTCCCGACTCTTTCCATCTTGACGATTCCTTTTTAAGCAAAAATTCCTCACACTTTTATCACCCCTCAAAAATCACCGTTAACCATTACGAGTTTAAATTATTCATCGCAGATGCTACCGAGATAATAAAAATGAATAACGAGCCCATTATGCCCAAGAAAAGAGCCCATTATCGTACTCTTAAATGACATAACGATCACTAAAAATGATAATTAACTTGAATAAAATTTTCAAAATAACATAATTAAAGTCCATTATCGTTGAATATAAATGAAATAACAAATATTATTAAAGTTGATATGCTAATTTGACCAGTAGAATAATGAATTCTTTAACGACAATGTGATTATTCGTGAATATTTTTCCTAAATTTTCCTCCCTTTTCCACCCTCTTTCATCTTAAACTTTTCCTTCTTCCCCCTCTTACGTCTTAAAATTTCTCTTTTTACCTTATCTTCATCCCTCTTCTTCTCTCTTACATCTTAAACTTTCTCACTCTTTCTTCCTCCCTCTTACATCTTAAACTTCTCCTTCTTCCTCTCTTTTCTTCCCTCTTGCATCTTAAACTTCTCCTTTATCCCCCTTTTCCTCTTTCTTACATCTTAAAATTCCTCCCTTTTTCCCCCCTCTTACGTTTTCTTTTTCTTTTTCCCCCCTCTTATATCTCCTTCTTAAATTTCTTCCCTTTCCTCCTTGTTACATCTTACTCCTTCTTCTCTTTTCCTCCCTGTTACATCTTACTCCTTCTTCCTCTCTTTTCCTCCCTGTTACATCTTACTCCTTCTTCCTCTCTTTTCCTCCCTGTTACATCTTACTCCTTCTTCCTCTCTTTTCCTCCCTGTTACATCTTACTCCTTCTTCCTCCTTTTTCCTCCCTGTTACATCTTACTCCTTCTTCCTCTCTTTTCCTCCCTGTTACATCTTACTCCTTCTTCCTCTCTTTTCCTCCCTGTTACATCTTACTCCTTCTTCCTCTCTTTTCCTCCCTGTTACATCTTACTCCTTCTTCCTCCTTTTTCCTCCCTGTTACATCTTACTCCTTCTTCCTCTCTTTTCCTCCCTGTTACATCTTACTCCTTCTTCCTC